TTGGTTTCCCATATATTTATGGATTACCATGTATGTTTAAAAATAATTTTAAATTGTTTCTTTTAAGATATCCCTATAACATTTGAATTAAAATTTTGTTTCTAAAACAAATAGTGAATGAGTTATATAACTTTGACACCCTGGGTACTCATGAGAAAATTGGTATACTTGAAGAAAATTATAAGTTACAATACTGGTATGAATTTTAGAGCATGTATTGAAAACTGCCCCCCAGGGGGACACCCAGCCTGTGTTTATTGACTGCCGGTATTTTCGAATTTTGCTTGCTAGTAACAAGGCAAAAATATTACGTAATGAATGATCTGTCTACTACTACTTCTAATCATCTTCTAATGACCTACCTAGAAAATTGAATTCTACCGTCTATAGTCAAATTTACGTCTCTTTCTTGTCATTTTCCTAATAATTTATTTTGTGCTTGAAACTATATATATATTAAAAGCCCTTGTTTGGTTCGTGGTTTTGTGTACACAGTAATAGTACAATATAAATACAAATAATAATTCGGATGCAAAGTTTCAAGTATGGAAAAAAATATTTGCAAGCTTTCTTTTTTCTACTGCCCGTCTCTAAAATGCCTGATTGCACACCGATCTAACGTGCGGGAAGCGCCACTTTACCACGTCAGTTTTGCTTCCTACGAATTGTGAATTGTGACGTTTGTCAATTCTGACGGTCATGTTAGTGAACGTATTTGTGATGCCTTGCCCAAAGACTAACGGTCCTAGAAAAAGTATAGTATGCAACAAGTTTGGTAAACTTTTTAAATCACTCGCTTATTAAAAATCAAATGAACTCGTTAGTCAAATGCCGTTTATCGCACTTGTTGCATAATATACTATAAACAAAATCAAAACAACAAAAAACAAAATAATTGATAACCCTTGTGGAATATTTATCCTCAACCCTTTTATGTTTTCCTCAATCAGCCTCCAGATGATTGAAAATCACTAAGAAAACCATCCGCTAGTAAAACTCTAAAAGATTAAAGACACGCAGGGCTCATTGGATTTATAATACCATAATATGGGCGCCAGAGAACAGTTTACTTCAGTAATCCATTCGAGGAACTCTTTTCATAGCTTTCATAATTTCATTTAATCCTAAAAATCTCAGGTTCGTATTCATTTTACGGTACTGACAAGCAAAAAACTGTATTCTCTAAGGTATCGAAATATGTTTGTGTTTCGTCAAATAAAACAGGACATTTGATAAAGACACCGTGTTGTCGAAACAATTGTCATGTAAAAATATATAATTTCGTGAAAATCTGAACTTTTAGTTCTTATTTATTTTGATAAATGGATTTTCATCAAGTAAAAGCCACCTCAGTTCAAAACAGGACTATTTAAAAGTAATTGTTTACTGTCACCTTAAATTTAGTTATTTAATGGTTAAAGTTAAACAAATGACCAAGAAACCACTAGATTCGAGTTTACTTCTTGTATAATGCTAAAAGTTTCTTCAAGAAAGTGACAATCTATTTTTTAAGCAATCCGCCCCCCTTATATTTATCCCTTTACGATGCGTCATAGTATAGTGGGTCCCCTTCTCTTTACCAAGTCGGTATTAATAACATAAAACGCAGCATCCACTGGCGCTTAAAATAGTCCAGTTGGAAATAGACGAAACAGCTGAGCGCCTCAAAATAAATATCAAACATAATAATTTAGTTCCCGTTTGTTGTCCTCTTTTGCGGATTTTCTTCATTCCTTTCAAATAACAATTATTTTGAACGAATTTATAATAAAAGTAAAGTACAATTAGTCAAGTCCTGAGTAAAGAAGTAAAAGTTTCTTTCAATTTTTGTAGTGATCGCAGGGATAATGACAACCGGATTGGACGCAATAAATTTTTTATTAGGATCGAATATCAGGTCCTATCAATAGCATTTCTGATGAAAGTGTCGATGAAGGAACAAGAAATCTTGATCGTAAATTTCATTTTCCACATTTTGAACTTAAATTCTAGAGAAAACCTATGTTCCATCTTAAAGATTTTACGTTTCCCACTGACTGTAGATGCTGTTAATATAAGCAGATCACCTACATTAACCACACAGCATTGTTAAAATAATCGGTTTGGAATATTTCAAGCGTATTTAAATATTTATAAAAAATTAATACAATCACTCTTCACTTCTTCTGCAAAACAACAACCTCTCAGAAGTAATGACCAATATTAGCACACGATTGTTGAGTTAGAAAAGCAAGCCAAATTTCATCTGATATTTAAGTTTACCCATAAATCCAATTTCTTTTATCGTATAAAATTTTCGCCAGGTTGAATCTCACCCATCTAACTCAAATGTGGAAATAAAAAACATGGTTGATATTGTTATTGACATTTCTATTTCTTGTCTATCTTACTTTAAACAAATAAAATTAATTAATTATTGTTTGTACATAAGGTTTAAATAAACCTGACTACTAATACAGCGAGTCGTATATGTAATATGCACAGCAGCGACAATTTTCACATTTTTTTAGTTTTTTATTGACATAATCAGTATATGTGTATGATGAGTTTGATGAACTCTTGGTTCTTATTAGTACTAGTTCCCTGCTGATATTATTTTGTTATTAGGGGAGTCCACAAGAACAACAATTTTCCTGTGCGGGGTAAAAATATTTGCGAGTATTAGTCACGAATATTCCTGACTAATTTAATATACATTTCATGCAAGGATTCACGGGTTTCTAGAGGCTACAACTTACTCAGATAGTTGTGTCTCTTTAAACAATATTTTTAGAGACGTTTTAAAATTATAATTTCTGGAATTTCACCCGAAGTATTGCAAAAAAAAAACAAATTACCTACTACAAAAAAAGAATTATAAAGAATATTTGAACAAGTGACCATTATTTTCCGACCACAGATAACATATTGTAAATGTTGAATTTAAAACATTTCTTAACATATTAGTTGTAATATGTTGAAGAGCTTAAAGCACTAGTCTTCTCAGTTGACCCTCAGTCCCAAAAACTCGATGGTAATAGTATAGCGGGTGAGTTAAAAAGTTTACCGAACGTGTTGCATTATATACTTTTTCTACGACCGTTAGTTTTTGAGTACATTTTCGCAAAACAAGAATACATTCACTGACAACCGTCAGAATTGACAAACGTCAAAATTCAAAGCTTGGGAAATATCTCCGAAAACATTCGATTGCTCAAAAACCCGTGCTGTAAAATTCCGAAAATGTCGGAAGTGGCTCGGATCCGTGGGAAACAAAACTGACGTGGAAAAGTGACGCTTCCCGCACTCTAGATCGGTGTGTAATTAGGAATTTTACGGGAGTAGAAAAACAATTCTTGCAGTATCAGGTCCGGCGAACGGGGAGGCTAACCAACAGTTATTAACTTTTCCAAGTGGTAAGTTGTCCAAAACTTCGTTCCAAACTAACGTTCAACCATTATAAAAAAGGGCCTATTAAATGTGTTCCATAAATCCCAATCCATATATTAAACCCAAAATTAATCTTATGGGGAAAATTTTCATCTTTCCGAAACTTCTATTCGCCAAATGTTTCTTTATGACCAGTTCTGAGGGCTTGACAAATTCAAAATTTTACAGGGTGATTTTTTTTTCTCGAAATAAAATCAGCAGAGGATTTTGCGATTCCAGTGATTTACGTTTCTTCGTTGCAGGGTTTGGTTCTGGAAAATACTGGTTTCTTAATCGCACCGTACTGCTTAATCTCTTAAAAAATGTTGTTCTCATTCGTGATCTACCGATTTCATCTTTTTTTATTCATCACGCAAGCGCCTCCTACATCAACACATTAAAAATGTAATGAAAACCCTATTTTTGTGATTTAAAAAATGTAGAATCATATGTTGTCGAACATGGTTGCAATCGCAACACGGACCATATGAAAAAATAAAGTTGATGGTGATTTCGCCTTAACAAAACGCCATATTTAAAATATCTTAACGCTATCTTCTACCGTTCAACGAGAAAGTGTTTTATTTTTATATGTCACACCAGAAACAAAAACAAAAACAAATTTAGGATTTTTTAGTTTTCTAAACAGCAAGTTAGTAACCTTTAAATTTTGCAACTTTTTTTTAATTTAATCATCTTCGTATCTCTTCTGGTTTCCGACATCCTCATGATAGATATTTTAATCTTGGACATGCAGTATATTGAATTTATTTTGATATATGCGAGAGGAGCAAAGCTAATAGAAATATTGTTTAAAAGAATATTCTACTACAATATTCGAAATGTAAGTAGTCTATCCCGCTGCATAGGATATCGTAAAATCGATTCATCTTTAAAAATTCTCCCTAATAAAAAAATTAAAAGAACAATGAAAGAATATCAGCTTGCTCATTGTTTTTATCAAGGTCAGAAATACTATGAGAGTAATTTTCTTTCCATAAAAAAGTAGCAATTTAAATTACTATTAATTACCTTATTATTAGTATTTTATAATTTTTGTATTCGCCTGTGTACGTATGTGTTTATATTAAATTGTTCTACATTTACATTCTTTTGATTTTTTATAATACATAATAAATAAAATAAAATAATAAAACCTGGGGCAAAAATAAATTTATTCTATTCTATTGTATTCTATTCAAAAAACATTAATCCCACAATCCAAAAATTTGCTTTTAAAGTTATTTGATTATGCTGCTTATTTTACTATACAGAAAACTAAAACAAAATCACACTCAATAAAATTCGCCTGTAAAATTAAGGTTGTTAATAAAATTAATTATCGAAAAATTTAAACTCGCCAAAATTCTTCTTGTTAGTACCTGTAAATACCCTTCTCCTTGTGCGATTCGCACATTTTAAGAGAAATCCGACAGGAAAGACAAGAATACACTCGAGAGTTGTCCAGAATCTGGAGAGACCTATAAATATAATTTGAAAAGCAAAAAATTAGAGTAGGAGTTAAATTCGTTCAGCTAAGGCTTCTCCAGAGAGACGTATGGTACGACTTTAGTTTTAGACGCGTTTCGTCGCCGTCGTTGCCTACATTTGCCCGTTAAACGTTTAAATAATGCACGATCGTGAGATCGAGCGCGTGATAATATTGGATTTGCGTGGCATATTTTTCCAAGGAATGGGATGAAATCTCAAAGATTATTTTGCGGTGTTAACGGTGCAAAATGCAACAGAAATTTGCAAAATATGTTGATTCGTTCGGGCTGTGCTTTAGTTGTTGTGTGGTTATCCATTTACTGACAGCTCTCGGAGTTTTTTCTTTGGATTCTAAGGAATTCCAGAAAAATTGTAAGTACTTCTAACGGATTTAGCATTTAGCTTGATTGTCTAATGAGGCGTAAAACCACGATCAAGGTTCGAAAATTCAGGTGGCTATAAAAAATCGACCTAAAAATGTCATCAACACAATTTCGATGACAGCTACAATCCCCGAAATTTTCAGTTGGCAGTAGAAGTCATATGGAGTATGACAGATGTGTTCATTCTCTGTTCCAAACTGCTTGAAATTATTTGTACAACAAGAAAAAAGTAACCTTCTCCAATTTCACAGACATTTATTGTTGATATTATTAACATTTCAGAACCTAAACTTTCCTAAGATTTTTAAAATAAAAAAAAACTTAAAAGTCTAATTATTTTAAACACAAAAGATCTTTCAACTCAAGTATTGCAATTCCCAATTCACAAATGTGTCTCACAATTTTTTAATAAAACGTAGGTATTGTATAAATTACATATAATTTAATACCCTTTGCCTTAATACCCTGCTTAATTTTAATTTTCAATTCAATTTGCAAATTTTAATTCTATAAATGATGACGTTACAGTTGCGAGAAACAATTGCAACCACACTTTATTAATGTTTCATTAGTTATGGCCAACGTTTCCCTAGTCAATTAGTCTCTAAAGCGTTCAACCTCCATTAGTGAATAAAATAATAGAATTTACTTCGTGTTCGTTTTATATTTTGAATTTTAATCGCAAATAATTCTAATTTCAGTTAGTTTTTAAGGATCGTCATTTTCAAAGTTTAAATGAAATTTTGTGCAGACAGCCTGCTTTCAAACCGTATCAACGAAAACAGCTTGCATTTTAAAAATCTCCTGCGTTCCTCCTGAGTCGGCTGTTGTTCCTGTTATTCCGGTAACTGAAGTTCCAGTTAAGCTTTAAAAAGGCCAACAGACTGAAGCGGAAATCTCGAAGATTTGTAAACCGTCTCACGGGAAGTCTCTTTGAAAATTTAAAACAAGCGGCTACAACGATCCAACCACCTACATCGGAACCAATAAAATTGTGATATTCCACCATTAAAATTTGGATTATTGCAAGTTATTTGAAGAATAATTTTAAAAAATTCTTATAAAATACTTTTATTAAATAATTTTTTTAGAAACATATACAAAAGTAGTTAAAAAAATATCTGAATGTAATGGGTGTTTTTTTTCTATGTATAGAACTTTAAGTTGGCATTACTGTTCAAGATGGCGACCGATTTAATAGCTGTCAAGTGATTTATTCTCGGTTTGATTTGGCAATTCATCATGAATAGACTTATACCTGAACAACGCTTGCAAATAGTGCAATTTTATTTCGAAAATAATGGTTCTGTGCGGAATACGTATCGCGCACTACGTCCATTTTATCGTCGACAAAATCGTCCATCAGAGCAGTTAATTCGATTAACTATGGAACGTTTTCGCACCACGTTTACTCTTATTGATAACTCGCATCCTCAGAGACACCATACGGTGCGTACAGAAGAAGCTATTGCTGCTGTAGAGCGTAGCATTGAGGAAGACCCGAATGAGTCCATCCGCCATCGAGCACAGGAATTGGATCTGTGTCCATCCACTTTATGGAAGATTTTGCGAAAGGACCTTGGTTTACGTGCTTACAAAATCCAACTCGTGCAAGAATTGAAGCCAAGTAAGGCGTAGATTCGTCGAATGGGCCCAAAACGAGATTTCCGTTGTTCCCGATTTACATAAGAGATGAAGCGCACTTCTGGTTGAATGGCTACGTCAACAAACAAAACTGCCGCGTTTGGAGCGAAGCTAATTCTCAAGTGTATGTCGAAACACCGTTACATCCAGAAAAACTGAGCGTTTGGTGCGCTTTATGGGCTGGTGGAATCATTGGTCCGTACTTCTTCAAAAACGATGATGGCCAGAACGTTACAGTCAATGGTGATCGGTATAGAGCTATGATTACTTACTCTTTCATTGCTGAATTGAATAACCATGATGTCCAGGAGATGTGGTTTCAACAAGACGGCGCAACATGTCACATAGCTCGTGCCACAACCGATTTATTAAAAGACATGTTTGGTGACCGCCTAATTTCACGTTTTGGACCTGTGAATTGGCCTCCAAGATTTAACACCGCTAGACTACTTTCTGTGGGGCTATGTACAGTTATTGATTTATGCGGATAAGCCACAAATGCTTGACCATTTGGAAGACAACATTCGCCGTGTTATTGCCGATATACGGTCACAAATATTGGAAAAAGTCATCGAAAATTGGACGTCGAGATTGGACTACATCCGCGCCAGCCGTGGCTTTCATATGCCAGAAATCGTATCTAAAATAAAATTCATGTCAATCGAATAATCCACCGTTGTTTTATTGCAACTTAAAGTTCTATACATCGAAAAAAAACACCCCTTACTTTATAACATTGTTGTAAGTACGAATTTAACATTTCGTTAGGAAGAAAATATTTAATCAATAATTTTTAGAAAAAGTAGGTCAAATCCAAAAATGGTAATCTCCAGTTTCACAGTGCTTTCGCAAGGAAGTTTTTAAGAGTATACGTGACATAATTAGTTGAACTCTCCCTAAGGCAAATAATATGGTCGCACATTTCAAATAATGCTTTCTCAAAAAATGCATTTTGTTTTAAACAATTGAAGCAACCACTAAAATAGACATCTGTCAAGGTACCGGGAATACACAAGGACATCCATAATTGATTTTATTACTATACTTAACACAACTAAAACTTGCGCCAGAGAATTATTGTACAAATACATTTTACATAAACTATTGCTCTAAAATGGAAAGCAGTATGATAAAAAAAATGTGATTTCCATATGGGCGATTCTGTTGTAACTGTGATTTTTTATGTCTCGTATTGTTTATTCTCATTGGTGCTTAATTAATAATCAAAGCATGGGGTTTTTGTATTAATAAGAAGATTATGAACATATACAGTCGAACTTCGATAAGTCGAACTGCGATTTGACACATGAAAATTTCGAGTTATCAAGACTTCGAGTTATCAGTAAAAACTACAGGTGCATGTACTTTTTTGTGAATGAAAATTTATTCATTCATTTTTAAAAATGGGTTATACGTTACATAAATCCCCTAATATCTATGATTTTTGAACACAACACGAAAATTATGAAATAGTAGTACATATGTATGTATGTATTTACATAATATATGTACATACAAATGTATTGTATATGTACCCAGTACATAAAAACATAGTATGTATGCACATATACATACATATGTATGTACATATTAAAGTTTACTCTTTCACTGGATAAAAGTCAATTATTTGGGACTGACGACCGGATTTCTTATTTTGGTTTTCAACCAAAGCTTCAATTTTATTTAAACAATCATAGAGGGAATCGGTTGTGTATTCACTGGTTTTCAAATAGGAACGCAAGACAATCAACGAATTTTCAACCAATTCCTCCTCTATCGTGTCACTTTCTCAGTCATCTTCGATGTTTAACTGTACCGGTTCGGATCTGCAGGACTCGATAATATCTTGCGTCTTCGCTCTTTTCTTTCAAGCGTTAACTTAGGAAAATCAAGGGGATTTCATCTTCTTCTTCCCATGCAGAATACTGACCAAAAACGGCTTTTTTAAAACAATTGGAAATTGTTTCAGGCTTAACGTCGATATTCCATGCGGTAGTTACGTCGTCAACACAATCCATTAGTGTGTTTTTGTTTTTGTTTTCTTCGAAACCTTCCATTGCGGTGATGACTGAATGTTTATTTTTCAAAATTGTAGACACTGTACTTGCCGAAATCCCATATTTCACAGCTACATCTTTATTTTTTGAGCCACTTTCCACTTCTTTTAAAACCTTGAATTTTTGATCAACAGACAAAGCTTTTAAATTACGTTTTTATGACATATCAACAAATGCAAAAATCCAAAAATGTCTTTAATATAATGTGTAAATTGAATAGGGACAGTATTTTTCACTTAGTATTAACTAGTAAGTCATACAAGTGAACTTAGCAAGCACAGAAACTGAACTGCTTGCATAGATACGTTAAAAAGACAGGTTAAGGTCGTAATTAGGGGGTTCCTCGAGAAAATTCGACGTATCGAAGTTGGCACCAAATGTTTCGTTCGAGTTATCAAGATATTCGAGTAATCGAAGTTCGACTGTATAATCATATTTTTTATATAAATATAATTTGTGAGTCAGAGAGAACCTACAATATATCAACTAAATGTCAATTCTTTTTTCTATGACTAAACTAGAAAAAAATGACACTTTTGTGGTTAATGTTTGAAGTTAACAATGAATTCCGGTTCAATAACTTTTGTCTTTAAAATTTAGCGAATTTTTGAATTTGAATTTTTATGACTCGAGCACCATCTACCTTGAGATCAAACGTCCAGGGAATTATGCTGAAAGTACGTCATCTGAGTACTGTTTACAAACATGGAGTTGATGAAATAGTACAAAGAGTTTAAATGAATTATTTAATTTAAATTTAAAATTTGTTTCTCGTTCTTGACTCTTTGAAGTTGTAGTTAAATCGTTTCAGGCTTTTATTTTTACAGTAATTCTACATTAATTGGCTCTTAGCAATTTCATGTGTTTGTGATCTAACCATGATACTGATTAAAGTGATGAAGTAGGTTTGTATAAATATCCATGGGGTAAAAAACTCTTGTTTTCGAAGAAAATTTTTACTTCTTCTTCAACATTCGGAAAGCACAAAAATTTAACAAATTGAATTTAAGATTCCATAGGATGATGATAATTTACATACATCGCAGGTTCGAAAAGAGGTTTCCGGGTATATATTCGTTTACAGCTTAAGACGTTACTACATTAAAAATCAAATTTAGGGAATATTAGACAGATCATACACTCAATAAGAAATACATTTCACTATTGATTTTAATTCTCTGTGGTTAGAAATTAAATTTACCATTATTTATTACTGGACCTCCTCACTTGAAATTTTTTTGTAAATTTAAGTTATCACATACAGAGTGGCTAAGTATTGCATCTCCTT